TATTTGAACCAGCTGAAAGGGAGTGTAATTGTTTCTTTAGATGCTCTGGAGCTTGTCCAGCTGCTTCAGTTACATTGCTTTAGACACACCACAAGTTAAGAAATAAAGTAGTGCTGCTGTCCTGCATTTGCAATGTAAATGTTGGTTTAAATGTTTACAAAGAAACTTTTAAAATATAATGATAAAATTCTGTAATTTTTCTTGTCATGACTATATGTGGTTAATGTATTGCAACATATTTGACTTGTTTCCCATATCACTCCTTGTTCCTCTGTGTTAAATAATAAACAAATTTAAATTGCTGCACTGTATGTTTACTCTGTCACTAGACTGTTGGTCTTTGCAATTATGCTGGACAGTGTCTTACAAATTAAAACACTGTCAGTATTTAAAATGGACTAGATAAGCTGCTTCAGGGCAAACACAGTTCATTCACTTTTTAAAGTGACCTTCAGAATATAGAACCCTTTTTCAATTATTCAAATCATGTTCCAAAATGTATTTTACTTGTCTCTCATAAATTAATTCAGAAAAATTCATATGAAGTAAGCCTTCCTTCTTAATTTTCGTTTAGCATATCCTTATTTTCTGCTACAACATCAGTTGGCACTTCCTTACAAATTTGTGGGTTTTGATTTTTGTAATACAATCTGCATTACTATATTTTGTGTATTGGGTGTATGTGTATATACATGTTATATGTCTTTGCGTGTGTGTGTATACACACACACACACACACACACACACACCCCTTCACAAAGTGAAGTAGACAGCTGGGGTTTGGCCTCAGTTACCTGACAAGTCAATCAATGTGTAATTTATACTTTGTTGTGTCTTCTGTAGTACAGTACAAAGAGTTCTTGCTTAGGGGCCAAAAAACCTGGATTCAGATTCTATCTCTGATACTTACTACTTGTCTCACCTTGGGCAAGTCATTTTACTTCCCTATATTCTGTGAGACCTCTGAGGTCCCTTCCAGTTCTGTATCTGTGAGCCTAATCTACCTTTACCTGTAGACTTACTTAAATATTTATATGTAGCTACTTATGTGACTAATTGTTTATATACACATATATATATCTCTGACGTGTGTATTCATATTTGTTTATGTGGATCATTGAAGGTGAAGCATGATGCAGTGGGTAAAGAGCCAGGCCTGAGTTCAAATCCTGCCTCTGATAAATATAAGTTGCAGAGCGTGTGCTGACCTTCATTATTCACTAGGATTTCTCTGTACCATGACGTATCATATGTGAGAGAGAGAAAATAGCATGCATGCCTACATACACGCGTACTATACAAAAGATTGGTGGTGTGTATGCATATTCCATGTGTGTCTCAGTGGAATACATTTAAATGTACACCTCTTTTGTAATTATAAAGATAGAGGCTTTGTTCAATGAAAATTTTGTCCCATAAAAGATCTTTGTATGGGTTTTGAGCTGTTTGCAACATTATTATAATCCCTTCTTGCACAGTGTATTATGAAACAGCTATAAAAAGTAGTCTCATTACTGATTCACTGTTCTCATTGTATTTTTTAAAGACAAAATAAGCAGGATTTTTGTGAAAGTCTACCCTAAAAACTGATATTTGCTTAATCATGTTGATAAAATTCAGCCATTAAGAAAATCTACTTCAAAATTTCTTTAATGAATGTTAAAAATTTTCTTTACGTATTATTATTTAAAAATCAACTGTATTCCATTGTCATTCATGTTTTTGTTCCTTTTTCTGGTTGCAGGGAGATATTGAGTAGCTGTAGAATGTACATTAATAAAATTAGCTAGATGATGTAGCCCCAAAAATTTTTTTTCAGGTAATTGAAGATAAAGTATATTTAACTCAGTTTCCAAGACTAGCCACCTCAGTTGCCCACTTTGTTTTGTTCATTAAAACAAAAAGCATTTAGAGAGTGTTGGGGGGTTTTTAAATGCAAATTTATTTATTGTTAGTTTTCAACATTCACTTCCACAAGTTTTTGAGTTCCAAATTTTCACCCCATCTCACCTCTCCCTCCACCCCAAGATGGCATGAATTCTGAATATCTCTTCCTCTAGACTGTCCTCTCTTCTATCTCTGCCCCTTCTCTTATCCCCTTCCCCTTCTATTTTCCTGTAGGGCAGGATAAACTTCTATACCCCATCTCCTGTATTTCTTATTTCCCAGTAGCATGTGGAAAAAAATTTTTTTAAACATATGTTTTTAAAACTTTAGGTTTCAAATTTTTTGTCTTCCTCCTTCCCCATCCACCCTCATTGAAAAGGCAAACAACTCAATATAGGTTATACATGTGCAGTTATGCAAAACACTTCCATAGTAGACATGTTGTGAAAAACTAACTCTATTTCCCTTAATCTTACCTGCCCTCCCATTTATTCTATTCTTTCTTTTGACCCTGTCCCTCCTCAGAAGTATTTACTTCTAATTCCACCCTTTCCCAATCTGCCCTCCTCTCTATCATCCCCTTATTGTCTTGTCCCCTTCTTCCCCTGTTTTCCTGTAGGGTAAGACAGATTTCCATACCCAATTGAATGTGTATGTTATTCCCTCCTTAAGCCAAATCCTATGAGAATAAGATTCACTCATTCCCTCTCACCTTCCCCTGTTTCCCCTCCACTGTAAGAGACTTTTCTTTTCTGTTTTTTTTTGTGAGATAATTTACCCCATTCTACCTCTCCCTTTCTTCTCTCCGAGTATATCCTCTCTCATCCCTTAATTTTATTCTCCAGATATGACCCCTTAATCTTCAACTCACCCTGTGCCCTCTATCTATCTATCTATATATATATACATATAATTTTTTTCCTTCAACTACCCTAATACTGACAAAGGTCTCATGAGTTATAAATATCATCTTTCCATGCAGGAATGTAAACAGTTCAATCTTAATAAGTCTCTTATGATTTCTCTTTCCTGTTTACCTCTTCATGTTCCACTTGAGTCCTGTATTTGAAAGTCAAATTTTCTATTCAGCTCTGGTCTTTTCATCAGAATGCTTGAAAGTCCTCTATTTCACTGAATGACCATTTTTTCCCCTGAAGGATTATACTCAGTTTTGCTGGGTAGGTGATTCTTGGTTGTAATCCTATCTCCTTTGCCCTCCAGAATATTATATTCCATGCCATGTGGTCCTTTAATGTAGAAGCTGCTAAATCTTGTGTTATCCTGATTGTGTTTCCACAGTACTTGAATTGTTTCCTTCTGGCAGCTTGTAATATTTTCTCCTTGACCTGGGAACTCTGGAATTTGGCTAATATTCCTAGGAGTTTTCCTTTGGGGATCTCTTTCAGGAGGAGATCTGTGGATTCTTTCAATTTCTATTTTGCCCTCTGGTTCTACTATATCAGGGCAGTTTTCCTTGATAATTTCTTGAAAGATGATGTCTAGGCTCTTTTTTTATCATGGCTTTCAGATAGTCCAATAATTTTTAAATTCTCTCTCCTGGATCTATTTTCCAGGTCAGTTGTTTTTCCAATGAGATATTTCACATTGTTTTCTAATTTTTCATTCTTTTGGATTTGTTTTACAGTGTCTTGATTTCTCATAAAGTCACTAGCTTCCAGTTGCTCTATTCTAATTTTTAAGGAAGTATTTTCTTCAGTAATCTTTTGGACTTCCTTTTCCATTTGGCCAATTTTTCTTTTTAGGGCATTTTTCTCCTCATTGGCTTTTTGGACCTCTTTTGCCATTTGGGTTAGGCTATTTTTTAAGGTGTTATTTTCTTCAGTATTTTTTTGGGTCTCCTTTAGCAAGCTGTTGACTTGTTTTTCATGATTTTCTTGCATCACTCTCATTTCTCTTCCCAGTTTTTCCTCTACTTCCCTTACTTGCTTCTCAAAATCCCTTTTGAGCTCTTCCAAGGCCTGGGACTGATTCATATTTTTCTTGGAGGCTTTGGATGTAGGAGCTTTGACTTTGTTGTCTTCTTCTGGTTGTATATTTTGATCTTCTTTTTCACCAAAGTAAGATAATATAGTCTGACTCTTTTTGCGCTGCTTGCTCATGATCCCAGCCAATTACTTGAGTTTTAAACTCTTTGTTAAGGTAAGAGTCTGCTTCCAATGTGGAGAATGTACTGTCCCAAGCTTCAGGGCGTTGTATAGCTGTTTTCAGAGATACTTGTAGGGACCTGTAAATTTTCAGTTCTTCCAAGGTGGTATGATAAGGGGCGAGGTGTTTACTCCTTTCCTGGCCTGTGACCACAGGTACTCCTTTCTGTCCTGTAACTGTGAGGAGGGGCTCCTCTCCACAGCCACTACAAGCTCCTCCACACCAGCGCTCCTCCTCACCCCAGCACCGCTGCCCAGAACTGTGACCCAGATCCAAACACGGGCAAAGCAAGAGATTCCTGCCTCAGCACTGGCAAAGAGATCCCTGCAGTCCCTCTCTGATCAGCCACTGGATTCCCCCTGAGTCTGTGGGCTGGAAGCTCGGGAAGCAGCGGCCCCTCCCCAGGACCACGCTCTTGGGGAATGGAGCTAAAACCCTGCCTTCCTCTCTGAGCACTGCAGAAACAGACTTTTCCCACTGACCTTCTAAGTTGTCTTTGGCTTTGGTGGATTGAGGAGTCTGGGAACTGCCACAGCTGCCTGCGTTTCAGTCCTCTGAGGTCTGCTCCAGGTTTGCTGCGGCACACGCCATGCTGCACTCCAGGCAGGGTGAGATACACCTTTCTGATCAATCATCCAGTTTGTCTTGGGCTGGAAATTTGTTTCGCTCTGTCTTTTTGTGGGTTCTGCTGCTTCAGAATTTGTTTAGAGCCATTTTTTATGAGTATTTGGAGGGGTTTGGGGGACAGCTCAAGCAAGTCACTGCTTTTACTCTGCCATCTTGGCTCCGCCTGGGGAGAATCGAGGATATTGTTTATAAATGCTGTTCAATATAAATATAGTCGTCTTAATATTGTAATAATAAACTCCCTTCCACAGGAAAAATAAAAATTAAAATCATGGGTTCCAAAGAAAAATAAGGTATTTTCTTGTCTTTTTGTTTTTCAGACCTAAGGATTTTCGGATGTAATTGGGAGAAAGTTGTAAGAAACAACAGAGAAGCTTTTGAGAGTTCTGATTTCTCCTTAATAGTTTTCTCCCAACCTGAAAACTCAAGAGAACCCAGCTGCTATGTGGAGAAGGAGATCTGTTAAACATGGACGCAGAAGATTTGTAGGGGAAGGAACCAGGAGAATATCAACAGGAAGCTACAAGAAAATAATTTATCATTTAGATTGTTCAGTGACCATGTAAAATGCTCAGAATAAAGTCATTTGATCAGCTGCTAACATTGTCCTGTAATGAAGAAAGAAGCTATCACTAGACCATGATTCTCATCTCCATTAATATTCATGCCATCAGATAGAATACCAAGCTGGAGGTCTTGGCTTTCACACTGATCTACTTATTTTTAACTTGAACGTTCTGGGCTGAGTTTGTTAGCTGTAGTCATCTGTATCATCTGTGTGCTCAGACATTCACGTTCCCACTGGTTGTGGAACAATTGAGTATTTGCACATTCAAATGAAATAATGTTTATATTCTCTATGCAGAGGTTTCCAAAGTGGGCAGTACTGCCTACTGGGGGGACGATTCAGGGGGTTCGGGGGAGTGGTAGTGGCCTCGGGTGCAATTGGGCATTGAATAAAAATAAGAGGACAGTGGAATCATAAGGAAAGAAGAGAAGAAAATTTTGAAAAATCATTTGTACATGTTTCATCTGTTGTGTAATAGTGTTAAAGACATAGTGAATACGTTATTTTCCGAATAAACACACAGAATGCAAATTATAACCAATCAGTGGTCTAGCCCACCGACAGGTCTTAACAAGCAAGTGTTGGCAGGTGAGCTGTCACATAATATCAGGAAGTTCAGCTTGCATCAGCAGGAATATGTGCATGTACTATATAATTACATGACACAATATTGTATCATCAAAACCTACAAATTTACAACAAATCATTAAATTTAAGGTGCATCATTTAAAAAAAAATTTCTATCTTTTTGAAATGATGCAAATTTCAAAAAAGCCATTAAAGGAATTAGATTTCCAGGGTGAGGTGCTGAGTAAATTTTTTTTTTAAGGGGGCAGTAGGCCAAATAAGTTTGGGAACCTCTGCTCTACATTCCCACATGATGGGATTCTCTCAGGATTCTGGAAGAAGAGTTTGGCCTTATGCCAATTTGGCATAAGAGATAGAGGGCTTACTAGATTTAGAATCAAGGTGACATAAATTCAAATTCTGCCTCAAATGCTATGTGACTTGAGCTCTGAGCTTCAGTTTATGTAAATCTGTAATATGGGTGCAAAATACCTACTTCACAGGGTTAATTTGAGGATCAGATGATAATATATGTAAAGCTCTTTGTAAACCTTAAAGTGCTGTAGATATTAACTATATACTGTCATTAGCATTATAGCACTTGTAGCTACTATTGAGTGTGTAGACAGGCAGGTTGGACTTAGGTGCAGGTTCCAAATCACTTGGGATTTAGAATCATTAAATTTTAGAACTGTAAGAGGAGACCTTAAGAGAACATCTGATCATTCTTATTTTATGGAGAAAGAAACTGAAGCATAGAGAAGCTAAATGAATTGCCTCCAGTAAGCAGAAGAAAGACCAAAATCTCAATCTCCAAAGTTTAAGTTCCCTTCTTGAAATAAAGGGTGACAGAATGGTCTCACAGTCACCACAGATTTGGCCCTACAGAATCAGGTGTGAAGGGGGCACCTTTAAGCAGCTGGGGTCAACCTGGTCCTTGTAAAGATGGTGGACTAATACTGGGAGCTCTTCTCATTTGTTCCTCTAGACAGCTTTTCCATCAGATTTAACCCTTTCTCCAAGGAAGCCGAAGATGCATCACTGATGTGTAGCAAAGGTGTTGTTTTCTCCAGAAATTGGAGGTGGAAAAAGTCAGGTGGGGAGTAGAGTGATCTTCTAATTCATAAATTAATTCATGAACTTATCACTAGGCCCATCTCCATACTATTCAGATTAATTAAGCCTTGTGCTGGGATATAGCCATGGAAGATTCATGAATAATAGGAATCTGTCATGAAGAATACCTTATTCCAAATGAATTTAAAAGTAAAAACAAAAAAGATTTTTTTGCACTTTCAAATATGTGGGGGGGAAATAGATTCCTTGGAAACATACATCCTTGTCCTGAGTTCCATTCATATGGTATAATTGATTTATAAAGAAATGGATCTTTCAAGGAGGGTAGAGCAGTCTTCCTCAATATGATTGATGGAGGTTAGAAGATTTAACTATTATTCAGGCAAGTAATATTGTCATCTTAGAGTAAGTGCTACTGTTTCCTTGCTGATTCTGTCTGCCCCAGATCTAAAAGCCCTTAACTATAGCTAGCATTTACTGTGCAAACTGCACTCACTTCTGCCTGTATTCCAACAATTGAATGGTTTGGCTTCCCATCTCCAACTGAAAAGGAGGTACGTCTACATCCTGCCAATATCAATAGTGAGCATCCAGTCCTTTCTCTCCCAGCCCACAGTTCCCCCGTGGAACAGGTAACAAGTTCTTGGAGAGGCTGTAAAGCCTGTGAGTCTCAGGAAAAGATTCTGCTGCCAGTCTCCACATCCCTGAGTTTGAATTGGCCAGAAGTGCAACATTTTCCTAATTTAAGGAGTACATGATCTTTCCAAGACAGGCATTAAGGACCCTTTTCAGCTAAAATGGCCAATTCTCTGAGAAAGTGGTATTCCTCCTGCTCCATCCAAAACCTTTAAAAAGCAACAGTTGAGTAGTTTTGCAGCATCCCAGCTGCTCTGTGTTTCACCTTCTTCGAAGAATGTTCAGGCCAGAAAAGTCTGCAGAGGAAGCAGACAGCGGGTGACTCCTTCTGCCAGCTAACTTTCATCTGTCAGCCGGGGATGAGGTAGACCAAATTTTCCACATCAAACCAATATAAGCTAGGCATCTGAAAGAAACCTACATGTCAATCTCTGCCATTTTTTTTAGCACCAGAAATTTCCTTCTGCATTCAAGTGAACCTTTATTTCAAGACTTAACTGCTTCAATGCTCTTGCCTTCCGCTTCCAAAGTTAATAACTACTAAATGCCTGCAAAAAGAAGCTGCTTGAAGAGAGTCCTGTGTCTTCTTGTAAGGCAGGGGTTTGGTAGATTGGTGTCTAGGAGCCTAAGTCATTTGTCACAAATAGCTTAAAACCAGCTTCTGTAACTTATAATGCCACCTGGCATCTTCTGTAGATCTCAGAAGACTAAAGGAAAATGGCTTTTTAGAGGAAATTTTGAGCATGTAACTTGCTTTTTTTCTTTTTTCTTTTTTTTTTTTCAAAACCATAGGTGCTAAGTAAAATGTAAGTTGCTAGAAGAATATTCATTACCTGTTAAACTCATAGCTTATGCACTGATGTTAACATACTATTGACTGTGTGGTGTGCCAATAAATCCCCCTGCCTCAGTGAAGGAATGATTCTCTATTACTATCCTCCCAATGATCCTAGAACTGTTAAAATATTGTAATTCTTATGCTAAAGGTTTATTAAGGAGAAGAAATGAATAGCGCTTCTTAGACTGAGGAGTAAGTACAAAAATATAACAATAATATTATTTTAGTTCACTTCATGCTGTAAATTGGTATATAAAAACTAGAGGTCCTCATGAAGAAAGCTGTTCTTGGACAGGGTAGGATAAGCCAATGTAACTACCCTAGTAACCATGTCCTAACAAAACAAGAACCTGAGATGTTATGTTTATTACACTATATTATATTGTATTTATTATGCCATGTATCATCATATTATTATATTGATATTATCAACAAAATCCAGTGGGAAGAGATAGGGAAATTCCATGTAAAGTAACTACAGACAGTGTAAAATACTAGCAACTACCTGCTAAGATACACATAGGAATTATGTAAACACAATGACAAAATAATTTTTATACAAATCTAAAGGCTGGAGAGATGTTAATTGCTTGTAGGTAGTCCAACCCAATATAATACAAATAATAATGCTACTTGAATTCATTTAATTATTCAGCACCATACCAATCAAAAGATTACTTTGAGGAACTAGAAAAAAAATAAAATTCATTTGGAAAAACAAAAGGTCAAGAATATTAAGAGAATTAGCAGGGAGAGGAGTGGGAAGGAAGAGGGCCTAGCAGTACCAGATCTCAAACTACACTCTAAAGTTCTAATTCTCAAAACAACTTGGTAAGAAAAGGTTTATCTATAGAACAGATTAGGTACACAATATGCCAAGGCCAATGAGTACAGTAACCTAGTGTTTGATCAATCCAAAGATCTCAAATAATTAGGACAAAAAACTCACTATTCAACAAACTTTTGAGAAAACTGGAAAGCAGTCTAGCAGAAACTAGGTATTGACCAATATTTTACATCATATACCAAGACAAGCTTCAAAGGGGTACATGATTTAATCATAAACGGTGACATCAACTGTTCATCAACAAATTTGTGTTGAATAACCCCAACTGGTCCCTTACTGCTAATAGACAATGTTTTCACACCTCTCTAATTAATTCAAGTGCCACAGTGGCTCTTCCAAAACTTTTCATCCTTCCTCAAACCTAGCTTACTCTACCTCCACCCTCTCAATTGACAACTTTGCTTCATATTTTCCTGAAAAACTGAGGTAATTCACTCAAAGTTCCTTCCTCTTTCTCCCTTATCTCATATCACCCAGATGCCTTCCATCACTGTCGCCTCCCCTTCATCACTATCTCACATGATAGAGACTTATTTTTGTTAAGACTAACTCCTCTACATGCACAAATGATCCCATTCCATCCCAATCTCTGCCAATAGATTGCCTCCTCCATCATCCTCACTCTCATTTATCTTCTTTAATCTTCAGTAATCTCTGTCTACTGCCTTCTTCCTTACTACCCACAAATATATCCATGTCTTTGTCTTCAAAAAATCCTCATTTGATTAACTCATCCCCACTATTGTCCCATATCTCTCCTGCCTTTTATGACTAAAATCCTTGAAAAGACAACAGGTGCCTTCACTTCTTCACCTCTCATTTTCTTCTTAATACTCTACAGTCTGGCTTCCAGCCACTGAAACTATTGAACTCATTATTCAACCAAAACTGATCTCTTAATTGCCATATCCAATGGCCTTTTCTCAGTCTTCATCCTTCTTGACCTCTCTGCAGCTATTGACACTGTTGATCACCCTCTTCTCTTTGCCACTATCTTCTCACTGGTTTTTGTGATACTACTTTCTCCTGCTTCTCTTTCTACCTATCTGACCACTCTTTCTCAGTTTC